GGGTCCCTGGTGGGTTCCTGATCCTCACAGATCGTTCCTGGGTGCAAACAGCTACTGGAATACGTCAGTTCAGTTTTTCCCAGATGGTTACTATAAAATGACAAGTTCTATATGAAAATAGAAAAAAGCTCTGGGGCAGACACATTCCCAGAGCGTGCCCAAAGCCTGGCTGCTGCCCAGGGGACCAGCAGCTGCGCCGTTCAGGAGTGGATCAGGCAGAGCTGAGCGACTGAGGACACAGGAACCACCGCGTCCCTCCAGCAGGGCACATACCAGGTGATAATGAAGATCATGCAGATGTGAGTCCACATCCAAAACCCAGGGATCTGCAGAGCAGAGGAGACCTGGCTCCATGCACATCCTGTCCCTCAGCAGCAGGAGCTGTCCTCAGCCTGGGCAGACGTGAGCAGCCCTGAGATCTGCTCACACACCCAGCCAAGGTGAGTCAACCTGAGCCAAGGCCTCAGCTCTGTATTTATCCTCGTTTTCACGCACACACAGAGGGGTGAAGGGAAAGGAAAGGCTCTCCCGTTAGGGAACACCACTGCAGGCTAATGTAACATGGCACTGAATTGTTTTGAATCAAATTAATGTCAGTACTTTAAATTATTTGCGGATACCCCCTTCTTCCAACACCATCATTTTCCACCACTTCTCCCTAATTATAAAAAAATAAATAACCCCCCCACCAGAGGAGCCCAAGGCACTGCACACAGAGAACAGATTTCCCTTTCTGACGCTGTCTCATTGAATCAGCATTAGCTGCTTTCCACACACTCCATGGGAATCCAGGCTTGAACAATAAAAAAAAAGCTATAAAAAATGGTTTATGTTCTCTTTTACCTGCCCATTTGTGAATCAAAATATCTTTGGACTGAATAAAAAGTTCAATTTCAGAACACTGGTACAACTGCCAGAGCATGCGGGGTTTGCCCTTCTCAGATGTCAGCCTGGAAACTGTCAGGGGCAGCAGCAACTATCCCACGCTCCAAGGGAAGGGAAAAGCTTTTGCAAACGTCTCAGACACATTTATAGGATCTGTGGGATCACAAAACACTGTGTGAGGGAGCAGGTAATGGCATTCCCCTCTCTATTTCTGTGGGGAAATTCTACCAGCAATTACTGCAATTCCTTCTCATTACAGTGGCCACGTCCCTTCCCTCTCCTGAAGGGCAGAGTCCAGCCTGGCCTTTCCCCAGCCACTCCCTGTTTGCTGCAAGGATCAGGAATGCACTGGGTATCCCAAAGCTCATTTCCTATGGAATTCCCAACTGGAGCATCTGCAGCAGATGGACTGTTGACCACAGCTGACACGACGGGGCCAAGCTCCAGGAGCAGCAGAATCCCTCTTGGTCCATATTCCTGTGACATTTTTTCTGCTCTCCTGCTCCCTGGCTCATTACCTGCCAAGGACAATTAAGTCCATTTATTGTGCACTTTTCTGGATGACACTTCTCACTCACTGGTGTGGTTTTGTGATATTACCTTTCATTTCCTTCCTCTGGTGAGGGATGAGGCCCTGGGACTCCTGGACCTTGGCGCACACTCCAGGGCCACGTTCCTCCACGTGGGAGGCAGCGGCGCTGTTCCTCCTGGGTGGTGGGGGGATATTCCTGGTTCATTGGAGCTGTTCACATTTGGCAGGCAGCTTTGCTGAGGATTTTATCCTACTTGCAGAGCTGTATTTTTGCTAAGTCAAGGACAGCACAGCCACTGGCAGCAGCTTCGGCTCAGTTGTGTTCACCCACCACACAAATAAACCTTCCCCTTTAATGAAGGAATCCCAGCGGGTTGCAGAGCAGAGAAGACTTGGAAGCACCATCTCCACTTGAGCTCTTCCTAATCCCAGCTGCCTGTACAGGCTGCTGCCCAATTCTAGCTCCATATGAAAAGCAGCAGCTGAGTGACCCAGTGTAATTGCCCCATGGCAGTGGTGCTGCCCATGAAGGTCACTCGTTGGCAACCCACAGGGCAAGAAACTGCTGCCTCAGACAGCAGGGTTTGTTCTTGGGAACAACAGAATAACAGGGAAAGCCTCTTCCCTGCCTTGTCCATAAACACAGCAAAACTACTGAAAGGAGTAGAAGAATTTCTACAGACACAGAGATGTGGTCCAATGTGCAGATGTGGAAAGAGAACTCAAGTCTTTTGGAAAACTAAGCTACCTAAATCCATCTTTTATCACCCTTTTCTTCCCTCAACCAAGCTGAAAGATTACACAATCTGAGATCCAGGTAGACCTTGGTCCCTTCCCAGAAACACATACACGGGTGAAGGCATCATGTCACATCGATGTTTAAATAATCATGCTGACTTGTGCAAGTAATACCCACCCCTGAGTGAAGCCAACGCTAGATCAAGATCAACTTTGTCCCAGGTGCAGAGCAGGAATTCCCAGGAGCCGAGAGGCCTCCACTGCACCTTGCCAGCTCACCCCGGCTCCAATAAACACACCGCACCCGCCCCACTCACCGCACCCGCCCCACTCACCGCACCCGCCCCACTCACCGCACCCGCCCCACTCACCGCACCCGCCCCACTCACCGCACCCGCCCACTCACCGCACCCGCCCCACTCACCGCACCCGCCCCACTCACAGCACCCGCCCACTCACCGCACCCGCCCACTCACCGCACCCGCCCCACTCACAGCACCCGCCCCACTCACAGCACCCGCCCCACTCACAGCACAGCCTGGGAGACGCTCACGGTTCCCACTGTCACTGCAAACCTGTAGAAGCTGCAGGAACCCAGAGCCCCCCTCAGCTGTTGGTGGGCAGTGGACCCGGAGAGGAGCAGGACCCTCACGCCCTCCCCGCTGTCCACCAGAGGTGCAGCCTGCTGAGAGTCATCACCAGCGAGAGCGCCGGCGTGTCGCCAGAGCACAGCTAATCCCCTAATCCCCAATCCCTGGAGTTCTGAAAATAACGGAATTATTATTCTTGGAAACAATGCCTGTTTCTGCCTTCCTACATTAACGTCCAATTAAGAAGTCCAATATATTTACAGAGCACTTTTCAAACTCCCTTTACACACGGTGCGTTCATGAATCATTTCCCTACCTGGTGGTAAAGGTTCTTGTGACACAGGGTGCAAATTAACACAGGAGCCAGCTGAAAATACCCAGGGATTCAGGAATCCCTGAAACCAGAACTGGCTGAAGTCCAGGCTACCAGAGCACTGAGCAGCACCAGCAAGGCCAGCACCCTCAGTCTGCCTCTTGCAACCCTGCGCCACTCCTGGGGCAGACAGGGCACTTTAAACACCAGTTTTGCAGTGAAGAACAGCACCAAGCGCCCGGGGTTGGCACACATCGGCTCTCGCTGTCCCCGCTGTGGTGACAGGACATGCTCCTCGTGTCTGCTCTTCTGAGTTGCAATCTACTACAGGCTGAGTATCTTCCTCAGTACATTAAAGGGCTCTTTTAAGACACTGCCGTGCTCTGCAGCTGCACAACCCCTGCACATTGAACACTTTGCTCCTGCAAAGCTTCTTGTTTGCCCCCAAATTGGCACCTGGGGGACCCTGGAGCAAAAGGAGCATCCTGGCACCTGGAACACCCTGCAGCTCTGAGCAGGGAGCAACGCAAAGCAAAACCCTGCACAGAAAACAAGTGTTCCCATATCAAAGGACTCCAACTTCCTAATTTTGGCTACTAAAACTTAATTAGCCTTCACAACCTATCTAGCGATTTGCAAACCATTACCTGGCATTCTTTGGACCTTGAAATATTGAACACAATGAGGCCTTAAGAGGGACTAATCCTCTTACAGAAACTGTTTAACTCCAGGAAAGCAATGTCTTTGGGAGGCACTTAGTTTGGAATATTCTTTGTTAGCCACTGGAAGGGGTAGGTAATACAGAAATGGTTGTGTGAAGAGGAGGACTGGGCAGCCTGACGGGCGTCCGGCACCTTGGGCACTCAGTGCTCCTCGTCTGCCCAGCTTCAGTGGTCACAGTAATTTTAACAGTTCATCCGAGAACATCAAAATCACCAGTAGAACAAAGTTAACTACTTGTTCCTCACTTGTGCTGTATCTGAGGGTTTTACTTCCCCAACACCAGAAACTGAAGGCAAGGAACATCACAGAGGAGAAAATTCTGCACAATTCTGCACGCTGCTCAGGTGTGCGCTTCCTTGTGCCTCCATCCATGCCCTTTCCCAGCTTCCTGTCTCTCTCCACCTGCCTCCCCATCCTCCCCACCGCTGATGGCCACTGTGTGTTCCCAAAGCCCCTCACATCTTCCTGGTGTCACCTCTCTGCACCGTCCCCAGTACCAGAGATGCCTTTACTCCCATTCCAAAGCAAGATGCTACATTAACCAGAATGCCTTTTCCAAAGGTTTACATCCATTTTTTGTTATTTACCAAACTTAGAGTCCACACCAAAAGCACTTCTTTAAGCCATGCAAGGAGAACTCTCCTGCAGGACCAAGATTTTCCATCTTTACAGTTCAGCATTCCACACGAATTCTCAGATTTTTACACCATGCAGCTTTAAGTTTATAGACCCTGGTTATTAAAAACCCTCATCATCGAGCATTACTGTGTCGTCATCATTAGGTTTCAGAGCCAACAGTGTCAATGCAATTAGGTACAGTTCATTAACATCCTGCCTGCATGCTAAGAGCAAGTACAGTTCCAGCAAGGAGTCTGCTGCCTCCTTCACAGCCCAAGGCACAGACTGTGAAGAGACTCCTTCAAAACACCAGTGAATTTCAGTTCACATTTCTGGAGCAAATCAAATAGTATATATTTAGGGGGTAGATTAAATAAAATTTTCTATGCAAATTACAGTGAAAAAGCAGTAACACCTGAATTAAATGTGAAGACCCAACACAACCCTCATCTGCTCCTTCTGTCAAACCTTCTACGCTCCCCAAGACCATTGTGCCGGGCAGCAGAACCAGCTCTGCCTGGCACTGACACGGGGCACGGGTAACACGGCAAGCTTTGGCCAACCCGCTCATTCGAGCCCGGGGTCCCTCCCAGGCACTCACCAGGAAGCGGACATCGTCGAAGCCGTTCAGGAGCAGCTTGCTCTCGTACTGCTGCAGGCCGATGGACTCCAGCCACTCCCCGACGCTCTGCTCCAGCATCCGCGAACCTGACGAGAGAGGAATCGGCAGCCGCTTGAACAGGGAGAAACCGTTCAGGCGGTAGCAGCGGCACTCTGAGGAGGACAGATGGCATTGCCACATCATAGTCATTACCATAAAGAAACTCAAAAAATTATGCTCAGAGTACAACAAATCAGCTGGCAGACAATTGCTCTTGTGTGCACAGACCATGGACAACAAGCTTCCAGTGCCTCCGTGGGCTCCAGGTGCAACCTGTACCACAGTTCACGCTCAGAAAAGAAACTCCTCGCCTGGGCAGAGGTTCAGAAGCGCTGCTGGGGTGCTGAGATCACAGGCACTGCTGTCAGGGCTCCTGAGTTCCTCACCAGATGAACACATGAAGCCCAACCCCACAGGAATGCAGATCCACTCCCTGGCTCAGCAGAAGGGGGCGGGAGGAGAGCAGCAAACTTCCACCCAAGGCATTCCCAGGCAGTTGCAGGTGCGAGGGAAGGGAGCGGAGCTGCTCCTGAACGCACGGAGCTGTTCCAGTCCTCTCATCCATGCACCTCCAGACGCACCTCCCTGCTCAGTGGGGAGTGCAGAGCAGCCTGAGAGAAAACAGCTTCATGCAGCCGAGCCAGCACAGACACGGCGGACGCTTGGAAAAGCAGCAGGAGCCCAGGCTGTCCGCGGGAAGAAACGCAAGACAAAGGAAGCACAGACTGCAGCAGCAGAGAGAAAGGGCTTGTGCTCTTCCTTCCCAGCAGTCCTGACAGAGGCAAACTGTGGCAGGGGCTTTGTCTCGCCGTTACAGTGTCATGGGGATCCCAAGCATGAGTCCGGGAGCCCCGGCACTGTCATTCTACCGGTGACCCGGCTGCCTGGCATTCCAGCACACTGCCCGGACGGGGCTGGCTGCCCTGGAGTGCCCGGCTCCACCGCTGCACCGCACGACAGAAGAGTGGGGACTGTTCTTACCCCACACCACCGGTCCTGCCAGGCGTTGGGTGCACACCTGGATTTGACCTTCCTTCATTTTCTTCAGCTGCGTGCAGCCGCCACATCGAGCCCCTTTGCTCAGACAAGGAGCAGCTCTGCAGGAGGAAGCATTTTGCTTCCCTGCTTCCAAACCACATCAAAACAAGAAGACAGAAAATGCAAGCACACCCTCCTCTCTTCCTGCAGCAGCTCAAGTCCAAGCCATGCCTTGCCACCTCCCCTCAGCCTCTGATAAAGGAGATTCCTCCCAGCACCTACGGAAGCCGTATGGATGAGCTCTCCCTTCCTTCACCCTTGGGATGAGTCCAGTGACTTGTTACTCTCCTCTAGAAAAGCTTGAGACCTTAAATATGACAAAAAAAGTTCAGAGCTCTCCTTTTCATCAGGGCATTTGCTATGCAAGACAGGCAGATTTTCAGGCTCCCTGGCACATCTGTTTCCACCATGGATGCAAAGAAAAGGATGATCAGGAGACCCCAGTTTGCTTCCTTTGAACCTTCTGGTCAGCTGAAGCGGTTTGGTAGCTTCCAGCCATCCCTCCCCGCTCTGCTGCAATGGCTGCACACACAGAGCTCACGGTGTCATCTGCAGATTCCTGGGGTAATTCCTGCTGTCTGCTCCACGGGACTGCTCCTCTGCCCAGGGAGCTGTTGAGCAGCGCTGACCGGTCCTTCCAGCGTACTCTGCAGCACGAGCGGCGCCGAGATCACAAAAGGCTTCTGCCCCCCTCCCCTGACCCAGCCTGTGCACCGGGGCAGCAACTAAACCCAGACTGTGTCCCCCGGGCTCCCGGCTCCCCCGGGCTCCATCCTCCCCTCCACCGGTGCCCGCGCTCCGCCAGCGGCTGCGGCGGCTTTGTCTGAGCCAGCAAGCCCCGCGCTCCACACTGCCCGTCCCTCCCTTCTCCTCATCCTCTCACCCCTCCCAGCGCTCCCACCCGCCGCACCAGCCGGGAGGGAGGCAGAAGCTCCCCTAACTCTCCAGTGGAAATCACTGACTCCTCAATATTTACTGGATGATGGATGACATGGCTTGGGGTTTTCAAAAAATGATGTCACAGGTCTGTTCTGACAGTTCCAAGTGATTTGTGGCTGGCTCAGAATTAATTTATCGAGAGAGAGGTGAGGAACTGCTTGGTGCCTACCACAGCATTCCTGGGAGCAGTCAGGGTATTGGCAGGGGGAATGAAACCACAGCAGCTCCTGTCCCTGAGCTCCTGAATTTAATTTTAAAAATTATTTACTCTGTTCAGCTTTTCATGCACTCATAAAGGTATTTCTGCTTTTAAGAGGGAAACCTACAGTGACACAAGTACAGGTCTTCTGTTTATAAAACCCCTTCAAGTCATGACAGAATGAAGGGGGGGAGGTATTTAGAGGGAGGGAATTGAGGGGTTTCCTTTAAAATGAAAAAGAGGGTAAGAGATGCCCAAAATATCCCAGGCTGAAAATAAAGAAGCCCCAAATACACCAGGTGTTCATGTGTTACAAGGATGACACAAGAACAAAAGAACCCCAGTCCCTGTGCCCCCTTGGCAAGAGCCCGATCACAGCTTCTGACTGAAACAAACTCCTGTTTCTCAGCTCCATCCTGACCAACATGACCCCATTTGCTCATGGACACTGGGTGGAGAGAGACACAAACGTCTGTTCCAAGGCCAAAAACTCCTCTAAGGCAAAGGGCAGGTGGAGTTTGGTATCAGGACACAGCAGCTCCAGGCTGTCCAAATTGTCGAGAGCAGGTCTGTGGGAGCACTGGCTCCTCCTCTCCCCTCCATGACAGTCCCTTCCCTGGCACTACTGATCCACCACAGCCCAGACCACAGCCTGAGCCCAAACCCACACAGCGCTTCGACTCCTCTGCAAAGCCCCTGACCCTGGAACACAGAGCCTGAAAAAGGTTAAGTTTGCACTGGGAACACACAGTGGATTTCTCTTCACCTCAGCAAAAACCTGAATGACAAATGGATGTGAGGTGAGCTCTATCACAGCCCGTGTGAGCTGCCTGTGTGGATCTGCATTAGCATCTCATCAGGAGGAGATGCTGCCCACTCGGAGCTGTTCTGCGGCAGCTGTCTGGAGGTGAAGGATTTAAAAGGACAGAATCCTTTGTGGTGGCAGCTCTCCAGCAAGCTCGAGTTCTGCTTTTGCTCAGGATTTAAAGGCAGAGAAAGGAATTCCCGTTTTAAGTAGAGGGGGGAAGCATGTTTTCTCCAAGAGCCTTGTTCAGTGTATATGGATACCTACAGGTACGTTCAGGAATGCCCAGGATAACCCTCACTGAGGCACTTGGCAGATTAACCACATCTGAAGGGCATGGCCACTGTGGGACCCGCACTGACCCGCCACTGGCATGACCCAGCCCTGCTCAGCACAGCTACTGCCCTCATGGAAGGAGCCAGGAGGACAATCCTGCAGCTGCATTCTGTAAAATTAAATGAATCTTCCTGGAGAGTGTTGAATTAAAATTCCCAGCAACGGCATCGAGCATCACATGGGAAGCCCAGGTCTGCTCCTCCTGTGCCAGAGCCTTCCTCTCCCTCCCAGAGCCAAAGCAGGTTAAAGGTTAAACACCTTGTTTGTGTGCAGAGCACTGCCAGGACAGATGGACACGCGCTGGGTACACACCTGAGATCCTCTGCTGCTCCTGGGAAAAGTCAATGCCTTCACCAATGGAACTCATGATCTTCTCAATCTGGAAATAAAAAAAGCACATGCTGCATTATTCATAAATCAGAAAAAGGTAAAGGCAGCCTGGGATTTCACTGCCACATGACAGCCAGAGAAATTCAGGGAAGGATGTTAAGATACCTCTGAACAAGAAGAGGTACCCTGAGCATCTTGCCTGGGAAAGTCCTCATCAGGATGGATGGCTCAGAGGGATTTCCAGAAGTTGGTGCTCTGTAGAGCCTTCCCTTCCACAACTTGCCAGAGCCTGGAAATAAGCAGCTCCAACAAAACCATCCCTCTGGAGCACAGTACTAGGCGTGAGGAAGGAGCCCTACCACTCCCACCAGAGCAGAGGCTTCCAAAAAGTTTGAAAACAGATCATTTGCAACAGCAGCACCACAGAGTGAATGCCTGAAGGACCCAGGAGAGGGAGCAGGAGACAGCTCCATCCCCGACTGAGGCGATCCACAGTCCATGGCTCCAGGCAAACCTCTTGCAATGACGAAAAAAGGTGCAGACTGTGCTGAGATGGGTCTGAGTCCACTTAAGAGCTGCATGGAAACGGCTGCGTTTGCCGCACATGGCGAAAAAATTAATTAATGTACGTTGCAATTTCCAGAAACATCAGGAGACTTCCTTAAATAAGAAGATAAACTTTTCACACAGTTCTTGAGCAGAATTTGTAATTCAAGGTTTCCAGTGCAATGCAGTGGATGGAGACTGACAATTACCAGTTTAGCTCTGCTAGAGACTTGGTGAAGCAAACAAAAAACCTCTTAAAAGGCTCCTGCCAAGGCAGATCTCTACAAAACTCTTCCTGCCTGTGGGGAGCAGCGGGCAGTGCACTTGCAGCATTAAATCTCACCAGGGAGAAGGCACTCGTGCGAGCTGTAACAGTGCCAGTAAGGATGTGGATCCCCATGCCTGGAAAACCATAAGGACAAGCACATCTACTGGGTTTGAAATACAGCTAATGTCCGTTTACTGGGAGATTAGAAAAACAGCCTGGGAAAAAATAATCAGAATCCAAACATGTATGGTAGAAAAGGGAAATCCGATCTAAAAAGAAATTCCAGTTAAAGATGGGTTTTGGAATGAATGCACTCAAGGGTCCCCCATGTCCTAAGGCAAAAGCATTCCTTACTTCTCTGCCCCTGGACACAGCCAGGACTCAAACTCTTTGCTGAAACTGCTGGGAGACACCTGAGCCCTGCAGGGCTCATTTCAGCAAGAACTGCCAAAGCAGATGGTTTTGCCTCCCTGAAGCAGCAAATGCTCCCCAGCAGAACCTTCAAATTTCACGGTGCCCTCAGGTACCATCAGGGCATTGCGGCCATGCAGGACTGGAAGGAAATAAAGGGATGGTGCAGAACCAGCCTCATCCCAGGTGACACCCAGGGCTCTGGTACTGGCTGTTCTATTCCTTTCTGTGGACAGACACTGAAGAGGCTGCAGAGGATTTCTGGGACACTGCTGCAATCCTGAGCACTTGCACAGTTTGGGTTTGGGGTCAAATCAGTTCAAGCTCCAGAAGTTTAAGGACATTAAGCTCTGCAGATTGGTGTCCATCAGCTTCAGGACAAGGTACATTTCTGAGCAGGAGCTGCTTGTGTACCTTGTCTGGGAATCTCTAGCTGGATTCCAGTTGCAAATTAACTCCGAGTGCCAGCCAAGTTCCCTTGTTTACTTTGTGCTGATCTTTCCTAATTCAAGAGAGACTTGATGCTGCCCAGGCTCGGCCCCTGGCGCTGCCAGTCCCAACACCACCATGAGGACTTGCAGGTACTTCTGCAGCACAGAAACACCCACGACCTTTTCCTCAAAAGCAAGGAATTGCCTTGTGCTATATAAAACTGAATGGAAATTAAATAATCACGTGGCAGAGGATTACCTTTCACAGCCCTCCTTTGCCAAGCGTCAGTCACGGTTACACACAGTCACAACTATTACCAGTAATGCAGAGGGAAATCCTGCCTCATGCCCTCAGCTATCCACGAGAAGCAACACCTCAAACACAGTCTCATACCACCTGAAACATGGGCTTACAGCTGACCAGCTTGATTTAACTCTTAGGAGGCTGCAAAGAGAAAAATGAGAGGAAGGACAAACCTAGAGAGGGAACCAATGCTTTAGAGCATCCCTGTCCTCTGCAGCCTTTCCTCATCTGCACTCCAGTACTCAGATGGGGTTTTACAGAAGATACCTTGGAAATAGCCTACACTACAGTTTTTAGGTTGTTCTTTCCCACTGGTTAATTATTAAAATACAAAAATACCATGTTTAAATATAGCTCTGCAGCTCAGACTTAGTTGTAGCCTGAACACTCAGTTCTGATTTGTTTTGGCTTAACCTGTGTTTTTCCACTGAAGCACCAAACGCCAGTCCCTGGTTATGCTTGGTGCTGTGGGGTGAGTTTGGGGTGGGGATTTAATTATTTATTTGTTTTTGCACCCATAGAAATAAAAATGCAAAATGCTACCACATCAATTATCCCTAATGCAGAGGGGCAGCTGGCTCTATGCTGGCAAAGTGTTTTGGCCAATGAGCCCTGAACCCCCACCAGGAAAAAAGACAAACTCCTGCAGAGCTGAAGTATTCTGGGAGAAGGAAAGGCTGCAAGGATAGGGAATCATTAAAGCCAAACCAGGGATACAACAGGAAGGAGCTGCAGAGCAGTTACCAGGACTGAAACTCTTGGATCTGTTGTCATATTTGCCTACGTTTTGCTGAAAAATAAAAATGCCCTGAAATAAGGAGCAGGGTGCGGCTGAGAGTCCCCCGGGGCCAGGGAAGGGGTGAGCTCTTCCATGCAGGCAGGCGGCCACAGAAACATAGCAACTGGCCAGTGACTCCAAAACAGAGCTTTACTCAAAACAAACTATCCTGAGCAGAGTTCTATTAAAGGAGGAAGAGGTATTTGTTTGCAGAAGGACAGTGAGGCCAAGCCAGCCTGGAGGACACATGGCATGCCAAGGTCTGTCCTGCTGCAGGACAGGGGACGTTTCGACACTGGAGTCCCACACAGTGATTCCCCACCTCGCAGCACTCACAGCAGGAGCAGCCAATGGCTTCCTACATGGGCAGGATGCAGTCTGTCTCCTGTCCTCTGATCCCAGCCTGCAGGAGCAGCAGGGACACAGAGGTGCACCAGTGTAGAGGGCAGTGAAGCTCTGGGACCCCCCTCCCCAAAGGCACACAGGGTCAGGCAGAGGCCTCGCTCCACAGCCGGCCCTGGTGCGCTCCCTTCCACCACCTGCCCCGGTGGGTGTCAGGCTGTAGTGTCCATATTAATCTCTCCAGATTTTCTTCCCCAGAGCCATCACTGAAGTTTGGAGCCCGTGAGTCCATTAAACCAGCCACAGGGGCTTTTATCCCCAGAATAAAGAGCTTCACACAACATGGGCTGCCTGCAGCCACCCACCTGGGCAGGGAAGCAGCTTCAAGGAGATCACCAGATCGAGCAGCACCCCATCAGGGTGACACTAAACCAGCCTCTGTGGCATCTCAATGTTCCTGGAGCTTTCTGGAAGGGGCTTCGTAAAACCTCACCTGCAGCTGGAGAGCCCCTACAGTCCCCCTCAATACAAACACAGAAGTTTGTTCTCGGTCTCTGCACACAGCATCAGGAGCTGCCAAGGACACAGCAAGGTCATCCTGAGAGAAGAAACAAATCATAGAATCCTCGAATGCTCTGGGCTGGAAGGGACCATAAAGGCCACCTTGTTCCAGTCACCTGCCATGTGGAGGGACACCTTCCACTAGACCAGGTTGCTTCAAGCCCCATCCAATTTTGGACACTTCCAGGGATGGGGCAGCCACAGCTTCCCTGGGCAACCTGTGCCAGGGCCTCCCCACCCTGCATGGGATCGATGCCTTTTGCTTCCTCTATGACTCCTTCCCAGATTGGTGGATTATAAAGCACCAGTGCAGGGCCTGAGCACGAGGGAGATGAACTGCAGTGCTCCTGCACAGGCCGAGCAGTGAAGTTACTCAGTCTGTAATTAAATAAAGCTACACAGAACCAAATGCATGCTATCTGCCATATGGAGGGCATTAATGCACTGTAATGACACCCTGCAGCAGGAGTATAATTAAGAATATAGCAGGATTCTCATTATAAATCCTTATTACTAAGGGTTCATAACCTACTGTACAAACCCACCCGAGGCTCAAGCTCTGCAAACAAGAGCAGCTCCAGCACCAGATTTCAGACTGGAAAGCTACTTACAAAGTTGGGTGGAAAGGTTATCAGTCTTTTAAATTTCTGCAATTCCAGGATAGTGTCAGGGGTTTAAGACTTCATTCTTCTTAAGCTTTAACAACTGGGGGATGGGGTAGATTTGGTTTCAAATTATAAAAAACCAAACCCCCAACTATAGCTGCTTCTACAGTTTCAAAGGCCCCTGAGCACAATAAACCCCCCAGTGACAATGTGACCAGCCCCATCACAGCCCAGTGGGTCACCTCTCAAACCCAGGGGAGAAGTAGGGGTGTGTGAGGTCGATGGGTAATGCTGGGGCAGCCCAGAACCACTGACATTTCCATTGTGCACTAATTCACCACAGCAAACCCCAAATACATCACTGACTGATACTGCATCCCTGAAGGAGGAAGCAAGGCTGCTCAGACTCTGCTGGGATACATCCTTGAGCAGAGAGATGGCAGGATCACAGCATCCACCAGCAATTCTGAAAGGGATGGAGCAGGAGAAGGGACAATACCTGCTGACTCCTTAGTGTAAGTGCAGTCCTGGAAAATTTGGATCTGGGCCATGAATCTCATTTCTAGGTTGGTGACATCCCATACACCACTTCTGGTTCAGTTTACAATCTTTCAGCTTACGTTCTCCCATCACCATCCCATGGAGCACGCAGCTCGTATTTCATTGCTCAGTATATTCTGTGACTCCAAGAGACACCAGCCTGTATGAACTCAGCATAACAAACACCAAAGGCCTGGAAAACATAATGCTCAATCTATTAATTCAAAGCTAAACCACACAGCCAGTTGTTTGCAGCACATTTC